TACCACAAGGAAATTACATTATTGTTTGTTATCATATATGGCCATTAAACACATATATATATTACCCCGTAATGGCCTTCTTTCCCTGAAAGGAGGCATATACATAACATTAGTTAAATTGACCGACTATAAAAAAAAGTGGATGGATTTAACCACCTCAATGGCCTCCACATGTGTCATAGGGTCCTTAAGAAGCACTCCAACTTTTTTCCCTTTCAGGTCCGAAAAAGTCAAAAATTGTCAAAAAATGAAGGCTATAATCCACCCTTTTGGATTAATTTTGGAGGTTTTGGGACTCGATGTTGAAAATTGTCGAGAAGATAGGGGATACATATTGAGGTCATATAATGTCTTTTAGAATCATAAATGACCACTAATCAGTCACACATAGGCCCTGATGGTGACCTTGAGTTAATTAAAGGAGATGTGAACGTAAACACTTAAAGTGATATTTTAAGGCAAAAAGAATGTTCTAACCACCCAAATCGCCTTCTAGGGTGTTGTGGAGTTCATAGGAAACACCGTAACTTGTTTCTATCCAGGTTCGGAAAACTGTAAAAAAAATCCAAAAGTGAAAGCTATAACTCATATATTTTGGACCAATTTCATAGGTTTTTTAGGAAACACCCTAACTTGTCATTCAAATTTAACTAAGTTCTAAGAAACAGATCTGCAGATGACAATTAATCAACCTTGCCCTTAGTTTGTAATTCACCGGACGATCAATCACTCCTTAGTCCTTACACATTTGTAACATTTTCCTTAAAATTATACAATTATATCATACCACAAGGAAATTTAATTGTTTTTTGTAATCAAATATCGCCATTAATCACATATATATATTACCCCGTGATGGCCTTGTTTCCTTCAAAGGAGGCATAGACATTACAGTAGTTAAATTGACTGTTTATAAGCAAAGTGGATGGATTTAACCACCTAAATGGCCTCCAGAGGTGTCATAGGGTCCTTGGGAAGCACTCCAACTTGTTTCCCTTTAAGGTACGAAAAAGTAAAAAAATTTCAAAAATTAAAAGCTATATATCCATGCTTTTGGACCAATTTTGGAGGTTTTAGGACCCGATGTTGAAAATTGTCGAGAAGGTAGGGGATACAAATTGAGGTCATATAATGTCTTTTGGAATCATAAATGACCACTAATCAGCCACACAAAGACCCTTATGGTGACCTTGAATTAATTAAAGGAGATGTGTACGTAAACACTCAAAGTGATATTTTTAAGGCAAAAAGGATGTTCTAACCACCCAAATGGCCTTCTAGGATGTTGTGGAGTTCATAGGAAACACCCTAGCTTGTTTCTATGCAGGCTCGGAAAAGTTTAAAAAAAATCCAAAAGTGAAGGCTATAATTCACGTTTTTGGACTAATTTAAGAGGTTTTTCAGGAAACACTCTAAATTGTCATTCAAATTTAACTAGGTTCTAAGAAACATAATTGCAGACGACAATTTAAATCAACCTTGCCCTTAGTTTGTAATTGACTGGACAATCAATCACTCCTTGGTCCTTAAACATTTGTAACATTTTCCTTAGAATTATACAAGTATATCATATCACAAGGAAATTAAATTGTGATTTGTAATCATATATGGCCATTAATCACATATATATTGCCCCGTGATGGCCTTGATTCCTTTAAAGAAGTCATATACATAACAGTAGTTAAATTGACCGTTTAAAAGCAAAGTGGATGGATCTAACCACCTAAATGGCCTCCAACGGTGTTAAAGGGACCTTGGGAAGCACTCCAACTAGTTTCCCATTCAGGTTCAAAAAAGTCAAAAATTGTCAATAATGAAAGGCTATAATCCACGCTTTTGGACCACTTTTGGAGGTTTTAGGACCCGATGTTGAAAATTGTCGAGAAGTTAGAGGATACATATTGAGGTCATATAATATCTCATGGAATCATAAATGACCCCTAATCAGTCACACAAAGGCCCTTATGGTGACCATGAGTTAATTAAAGGAGATTTGTACATAAACACTTAAAGTGATATTTTATGGCAAAAAAGATATTGTAACTACCCAAATGGTCTTCTAGGGTGTTGTGGAGTTCATAGGAAACACCCTAACTTGTTTCTATCAAGGTTCGGAAAAGTGCAAAAAAAATCCAAAAGTGAAAGCTATAACTCACGTTTTTAGACCAATTTCATAGGTTTTTTAGGAAACACCCTAACTTGTCATTTAAATTTAACTAATTTCTAAGAAACTGATCTGCAAATGACAATTTGAATCAACCTTGCCCTTAGTTTGTAATTGACCGGACGATCAATCACTCCTTAGTCCTTACACATTTGTAACATTTTCCTTAAAATTATACACGTATATCATACCATAAGGAAATTTAATTTTTTTGTAATCAAATATGGCCATTAATCACATATATATATTACCCCGTGATGGTCTTGTTTCCTTCAAAAGGGGCATATAAATTACAGTAGTTAAATTGACCGTTTATAAGCAAAGTGAATGGATTTAACCACCTAAATGGCCTCCAGTGGTGTCATAGGGTCCTTGGGAAGCACTCCAACTTGTTTTCATTTCAGGTCCGAAAAAGTAAAAAATTGTCTAAAATTGAAGGTTATAATCCATGCTTTTCGACCAATTTTGGAGATTTTGGGACCAAATGTTGAAAATTGTCGGGAAGGTAGGAGATACATATTGAGGTCATATATTGTCTTTTGGTTTCATATGTGACCACTAATCAGTCACGCGAAGGACCTTATGGTGACCTTGAGTTAATTAAAGGAGATGTGTACGTAAACATTTAAAGTGATATTTTTAAGGAAAAAAGGATGTTCTAACCACTGCAATGGCCTTCTAGGGTGTTGTAGAGTTCATAGGAAACACCCTAACTGATTTCCATCCAAGTGCGGAAAAGTGATAAAAAAATCAGGCTATAATTCACGTTTTTGGACCAATTTAAGAGGTTTTTCAGGAAACACCCGAAATTGTCATTCAAATTTAACTAAGTTCTAAGAAACATAATTGCAGACGACAATTTAAATCAACCTTGCCCTTAGTTTGTAATTGACTGAACAATCAAACACTCCTTGGTCCTTACACATTTATAACATTTTCCTTAGAATTATACAAGTATATCATATCACAAGGAAATTAAATTGCTGTTTGTAATCATATATGGCCATTAATGACATATATATTACCCCGTGATGGCCTTGATTCCTTGAAAGAAGGCATATACATAACAGTAGTTAAATTGAACGTTTATAAGCAAAGTGGATGGATTTAACCACGTAAATGGCCTCTAGAGGTGTCATAGGGTCCTTGGGAAGCACTCCAACTTGTTTCCTTTTCATCAAAAATTTTCAAAAATTGAAGGCTATAATCCACGCTTTTAGACCAATTTTGGAGGTTTTCGATGTTTAAAATTGTCGGGAAGGTAGGGTATACATATTGAGGTCTTATAATGTTATTTGGAATCATATATGACCACTAATCAGTCACACAAAGGCCCTTACGGTGACCTTTAGTTAATTAAAGGAGAAGTGTACGTAAACACTTAAAGTGATATTTTTAAGGCAAAAAGGATGTTCTAACCACCTAAATGGCCTTCTAGGGTGTTTTGGAGTTCATAGGAAACACCCTAACTTGTTTCCATCCAGGTTCGGAAAAGTGAAAAAAAATCAAAAAGTGAAGACTATAATTCACGTTTTTGGACCAATTTCAGAGGCTTCAAGACCTAAAGTCAAAAGCTTACAAGAGGGTAGGGGATGCTTCCTAGGGTTATATAACATTCTTTGGAACCATATATGACCACTAGTCAGTCACATAACGACTCATGTGGCGACTTTGAATAGATTTAAAGTTCGCCGGTACATAAATGGCTAAAGTGACATTTTAAAGGCAAAATAGATGGTTCCAAACTTCCAACCACCCAAACGGCCTCTTACGGTGTCATGGAATCTATGGGAAGAGCTTCGACCCCTTATTTTCCAAGTTCGGAAAACAATTGTCAAATAAAGAATGTAACCTTAATGAAACCAATTTTGGTGGTTTGGAGTGCCGGTAGGATTATAAAATTGTTCACATTTAGTTGCACATTTTGACTTAAAAAGAAAAAGTGAATAAAGGAAATACTACGAGTAAACACATTTTATTGACATAGGTACACACTACACATGAGACACTTTGTGGTGGTTTTGAGTTTTGTGGTGGTGATGATGGGAGTGGAGGTGGGGCAGAGATATTTTCTAGGTGGTGGTGGGGTGGGAGGAAGGCCATGGAAGGGAGATAGAGAGAGAAGCTTTTTTAAAAAATATTGATTATAGTTTTAAAAATTAAAATTAAAATAAAATGAGAAAATGACATGCGGATTGCTGGGTTACTAGGAGAAAATAAATACTTCCTTTGTTTTTTTTTACTTGACCTGTTTCTTTTATCACGCTTGCCAATGCAAAACTTTAACGATCAATAACTTAAATTCTCCATAAGTAAAAATTATAAAAATTATATATTATGATAGTACTTATTAAGACGAATCCAAAAAATCATACATGGATATATTTTCCTTACGTATTATTCACAAAAGACGGTCAAAGGAGGGGTGGTGAATAGTGTAAAAGTCAAAGCGGGTCAAGTAATAAAGAACGGAGGAAGTAGTAAACTTGTTGAAACGTTGGATTATATTGGGAAAACGAGACAAAGACTGGATTATACTTATTAAATTTTCCTTTATTTTATCCTCCAATACTCCTACTTTCTTCCAAATATTTCCAATCCTAATTTTATCCTATTCAGTGTTCCCACACATCCATATTGAAAACTCATCTAAATTTCCTGATATTCCTAAATGTCTTTTAAAGCTGAAAATTCCCCATGGTGATGGCAAGATTATATGACATACATTATGAAAAAATAAGGCCAAGAGGACATCTTGTTGATCTTTTCTGTTGGACCAAAAATGTGCTAGATTGCAAAGACGGTAAAAAAATTAAACCCTTTAATGTAGCATTACCTGCAAGATGATTCATATGTAACACTGCATATACATCCAAGTTCACCTGAGATGAGATGATAATACAGACAATGTTGTCAGCTGTAAATCAGAGCCTCGGAGATAAAATAATAAATAAAAGTAGGGAAATTATCAATGGTTTGGCTTTTTATCAATGGTACACCAACTTACATTTTGTTTATCAGCGGTACACCTAAGGTTTAATACACTCATCTACAGTAACTGTCACGTTAAACAAACGTTAATTATAGGTTAATTTTAGGTTAATCTGATTTTTTTAACTATTTTTTAACTAAAAAAATTCCCTCCTTTTTTTTCCCTCTTCACTTTACCTCCTTTATTTAATCTACCCTACCCACCCCTTCTTACTATATAAGTAGTTTCCCTCCCATATGATTTTCCCTCTTCACTCTTTCTGTCGAATTTCCCTCTTCTTTGTTTTTTTTTTTTTTTTTTTTTTTTTGCTTATCAATGTCTTCTTTTGGCATGGGTTCATCTACCAACGGAAATGGGAGGGGTTTGTGGTTCAAATCAGTTAATTGTAACTGTGACCCTTCAACTGTTGATATCAGGTTCTCAAGCTATGTATCATATCAAACCCAGGAAGATCCTACTACAAGTGCAGATTATGTAAATTCTTCATGTGGGTGAAGGAGGATCGGATGGTTAGTGACGCAGCAAGTAGAGTGGCTAGTACATCTGAATCTACAAGTGTTCAACTTTTAAGGAGAAAATTTAATGAGTTTATGATAAGAACAGATGAATTTGCTGACTTTGTTCATTTGGTGGTCAAAGTTGCAATTGTTATGTATTTGGTGTTATTAGTGGTAGCTCTGAAATAATGTAATGTTGTTGTACTTTGGTTAATGCATATCAATAAAAGCTAAGTCATTGCTGACTTTTTATTTCAGTATTGTTGTACTTAATTTCAAACAATCTGCCCTAAACAAATATGTGACTAAACATGTCAAAAGCTTATAACTAAACATGAATATACTACCATATTCATAACTAAACAAATCCAAATGCATAACTTAACACACAAATAACAAAAGTAAACTGCAGGTGCCATTCATTGCATATGTCAAAAGATTTAACACAGGTAAGCAAAAAAAAAATTAACAGAAAAAGAAGAGGGAAATTCGACAAAGAGTGAAGAGGGAAAATCAGGAGGGAGGGAAACTACTTATATAGTAAAAGGGGGTGGGTAGGGTAGATTAAATAAAGGAGGGAAAGTGAAGAGGAAAAAAAAAAGGAGGGAATTTTTTTAGTTAAAAAATAGTTAAAAAATCAGATTAACCTAAAATTAACCTATAATTAACATTTGTTTAACGTGAGAGTTACTCTAGATGATTGTATTAAACCTTAGGTGTACCGCTGATAAACAAAAGGTAAGTTGGTGTACCATTGATAAAGGGCCAAACCTCAGGTGTACCATAGATAATTGCCCATAAAAGTATGATACATATACATCCAGGTTATAACCTTTACATTGTCTGCTGAAACAACTTCCACATATGATATTTACCTAAAAAGAATAGAAGAAAATGTAACAAACAATAACAAGAATAAATATCAAGAGACACAAACAAAGTTATAAGCCCACTTAGGGGTGTATGCCTGAAGGGCTAACCTGAGCCGTGCGCCCCAATTTGTTATAACTTTGCTCACAATTCATGAGATCACCCTCATAGAATCCCTGGATGAATTTCAAAGATTTGTAACAAGTAATTCATATGAGAAGGCATACAGGAAGGGGGGGAGAGGGGGGACTTGGGGAGATTAGAACGATCAGACAATAACTGAATGGAAGCAACGTAGCAACCCATCCCTCTACGGTGATAAATAATTGATTGTAAACTTAAACAAACAATTCATACCGCCAATTCTTTTTATCTTTGGTCATAGAAGAGAAACCTCACCCCCACCCTACTCCAAAACCAGAGAGGGAAAAATAGAAAGAACTAAATGAACTTCCTTTGGGGAGGGTAACATCATTAAGGTGCCACATACCAGAACCGATACGGCGATACTATGCTAATACTAGTGTCATCATGTCCATTCACCATAAAATATCCATGTATCACACCTTGGGTCCTTGGCAGTGAGAGTGATGAATAGTCAAAACCAATGAAGCAATTATCACAGTTAATGAAACCAACAGTCTGACCAACAGCAAAGGAAGGTATGAAACCAAAAAACTCCAAAATGGAATAACTTAAGAGCATATTTGGTTGGAATATTTTTTTATTGAAAACGGATTCAAATAAACCACAACCGTTACCAAGTGTTTGGTTGGAAGGTTTGGGTAACAATTACCATTACCTGAGGGTAATAGACCTAATAGTTTCCACCCATTTGTTACCTCTTTAAAACCTAAGGTAACAATTACCCTTACTCTCCACAAACAAAAATAAAGGAAGATAGGTTTAAGTGGTTTCTTTCCATGATTAAACCAAACAAATGGAAAGGCAAGAGTTAAATGATTCCTTTCCTCCCCCACTTATTTATTTCCTTTCCATACCATTTCCTTTACTCATACCAAACGCCCCCTAAGAGTGCATCAGAATCATTCGTAAAACAAAAGAAGAATAAATGCACCATAAGATTTTAAATTAAGGCTTGCTTATATTTAGCTGCACTTTCAGTCCCACCCTACTTATACAAGGCAACTTTAGTTGTATTCTAATTTTTATCCAAAAGAGTTGCCAACCTCTCAGTAGAGAAAGATCATAATTCAATCTTTAATCTAATTTCTAGTGGACTTTAGAGGATTGTTGGTATACATGTTATGTTTTCAAACCAACTTTAATGAACTCAAGAGACACTCCTTACATCTACTTCAATTTTGGAAAATTTTCCAAGAATGATTTTAAAACGTGTATTATAGCCTTCAATTTTGAAGAATTTTTCACTTTCACAGACCTATCAAGGATAGAGGACAAGGTGTTTCTTATAGACCCCGTGAGACCTCGGGATGCCACTTAGTTGGTTGGAGACTATTTACTTTGCCTCTTAGCTATTAGCCAATTACAGACACACCTTTCGTCTTTGACTCAAGGTCATCCAAAGTTATTAAATGAATGACTAGTGAGCAGTTGAGCACATATGGTTCCAAAAAACCTTTTATGACCCTGAATAGCATTCCCCACCATTATTTTAATTTCAACACTAGGTCCCAAAATCTCCATATATGATCTGATTGTGTGGATAATAACCTTTAATTTAGCCTTCGGAAAACATTTGGTCAGCCGGAAAAATTAGGCATCGAGGGCTTCCCATTCTTCCCAAGGCCTATTTAGTGACCAGAACCATCTAATTCAATTCATGCCTTGACCCATGACTTCGCACCCCTAGAAATCATGTCTTAGGTCAGCTACCTTGGTCTTGCAAAGGTCTTACTCTTACCTTCCTAGGCTCATGCTCAAGCATTACCACACTGAAAATGACCCTAAGATGAGTCAAAATGCTACCTTCTATGGCCGTATATTGACGTTTTTAAGTATGAGGTATTTCTTCTCATGCCTTGTGCAGCACCTATCCTTAGCCCCTTGGCTGAGCATCATATCTTACAGGCAACTGCAGTTCTTTCTCTTTCCAATGTTTTCTATTCTCCTCAGTTATTGCCTTTAGTAAAAATCCCAGCTAGACCTAGTGCTAATAATGGATAAATTTAAGCACTTGTTTTGAATGTTTTCTGATGATCTGCTCAAAACAATTATAAGCACTGAAACTTGACAACACTCTACTCCAATATTGGGAGGCTGACCAGACAGAATTTTCTTGAAAACTTATTCCAATCGACAAAGATAATAATTATAATACAGCTCAAACTTAGAGAATGTTTTAAACCGAAAATTGAGAATTCTTGATTGAAGTAATCCGTAACTTGACAAAATGAATATCTCCTCTAATAATATTGTACTGAAAATTGTAACAACCAGTTTCAGTTAAATGTTTCTGAACAAAAGTTCATTATTATTTATTCATTTTATGGTTGGTCTTTTCTCCAATTAAACAGGATAATAAAAAAAAAATGCAGAGCTCAAGAAGTCGAGGAATACTTGAACAAAGTTGACACGTCCAGAGCCAGCAACAAAATGGTTATATGTATCAAAGCGGCCAAAATCAACATATCCCTGCAAACAAAAAGGAGGGGGTGGGGAGGTGAGTACAAATTGTGGAAAGTGATTGATCTGCAGCCATGTATAGTATTTATAAATACTCAGCACGATATGAATCTACAGAAATCTACAACCATCTTAAGTCACATTATGAGACGTTTTTTAGACCAATCCATTAAGTGACTCCCGTATTTACATTTTTAATGTCGTTTAATTTAAATTAATAAGCCAAAAGTTATAGGGATGAAGATATGACACTGAACTGAAATGGCATAGAGTTTTTTAGTAAAGATAAATCTAATAGCTCAGTAGATTACTGTTTGTGATCTGCTCTCCACGTCTTTGCAAAATCGAACAACCATGTCTGACTCCTGCATGGAGGTAAAGACAAATCTTTAAGCACCAAACAGAAAATCAGTATTTTCCATGGTTCATTACACAGATGAGATGAGCAACTAAAAACAGACCTCTCCCTCATACTCAAAAAGATGTCCTTTCCAGCTTGTCTGAGAAATAATTAAGGACAAGTAGTTTGAAAATATCTGAAAAGTAGAGATTGCGGTAAAATAAATCATCACCACTGCAATACAAAAACTGGACCCACTTTACGGACTCAATCTCCCAGCAAGACAGCATCTTGTAAGGATTCACCCAATAGTGAGGTCTAGAAAGAGGACATGAAGGGTGAAGCCTTGAAATCATTGATACTATTATACTATATACTAATTTCAAAAAGAAACACCCTGCAAAGATAACAAGTCTACCAAACTCATGCTATAATCCTAGGATTCAACAGCATTGCCAATGTATGGATAAATTTATGTTATATTAACAATAGAATTATCTGTTGAATCAGTAATACCAAAAGATGAAGGATACAAAATCAACAATGTGGCTGGAATTATCAAGAGCGTAGCAATTAGAACTCGGCACTGCCATGGAGGCAACTCCAACCACCCATGATAGTACAACTGGTCCACCAATAAGAAGAAGAGACTGTAAATGAATAATGAAAATGAAAAACTAAGCAAGAAAAACCAACCAAGCCAAAAGCATAAGCAAATTGGGTGGAACCCAAACATACACTAAAATCAATAAAAACCCCATTAAGTAATAGACATTCCGACCACATACCTAGGGTGGCCAGCATAATTAATCGAGGCGCGGTGATACAATCAAAGCCATTCCCGGAGCTCAACATCTGTTAACAGATTATAGACCCACCTAAACAAAAAATTAGAGCAGCATAACCATAATAATATGAGATGTGAACATTATTACAATTTACATTGCTCCTATAAAATCATAAGCAATATAAGAAACGAAAGCTCAGGACCAGTCACAGAAATCAAACTTAAAACCCTCAAAATTCAACCCCTTGTGATTGTCAACGAATGGCAAATGGATTAAATTCAATCTAATAATCCAATTTATAGCACAAAAAATATTACTACGTATATAATTGCAGGAAGAGAGTTATTGTTTTTTTAAAAAAAATATTAAAATTTTTGGGTGAAAAATTATTCTTGAATTCGAATTCATTGACATGATAACAATTTAATTGAAGTATGAAATTACTGAAACAAGATATTGAAGAAAGATAATGATAATGAGATTGGTAGAATAAGCTTAGTACCTCAGGTGTGAAGAAATCAGAGAGCAATTGACTAGTATTGCATTTCCAATTTGCGAGATAAATGCTGGAATTCTCGACTTTCACCTGAAATCTACGACCTGTACCACTGAGATGTTTTCTTTTATATTTTTCGGAATAAACTATTTGCGCTCCGCTTTGAATTTTATTTTTATTTTTCTTTTTTAAAAAAACACAAATTACAATAAGATTTAAATATTCCGTACATAACAATTAAATCAACTACGTGTGTTGGATTCTCGACACTCGGACATGTTTATGACACCAGAACTTCACTTTTAGTTCAAAATCATGAAATCTTTTCACAAAATGCTTTGACAAGTACACTTGTCGAATATGGGTGCACGTGTTGGCTAAAAGTCAAAATTAAATTACCTCGTATTCTACTTGCAAAAGTATTGACATTGCGAAAATGCATAAATGGTGCAATATTCTTGCCATCAAGAACCAAATTGTAAAAGGCCACAAATCGGCAACCACAAAAGCCATCAAACATCATTATGCCATTGGTGAATCAATTCATATCATCCACATCGTTATTAAATTTTGTATATGCTATTCGGATTTACTATTATTTTAAATCTTAGACTTTCAACTCCTATGATCGAAGGTAAATCAACAACGAATTTCAAGATTAAGCAATGATGTTTTTCATCTATTTGGTAGCATCTTTTTATGATTTATTCACTTTAATCACCCAAAGGGATAGGTTAAGTTGTTGTTAATGTAGTATTACAAAGAATAGCCTAGATTTATTTTAGGTTTTTTTTTTTAAATAAAATAACCAAAGTTGCTCCAAAGACGCCATTTCCGGTAAACCGTCAAGTTTGGGCAGTGAGTTGAGCAAATAACAACAGCACAGGTAAACCCAGAAAACACAGAACAATGTAATGCGAATTCCGACTACATTTCGTCTCTCATCCAATGCATTCCGCAACAACCACTACCCATCATCATCATCATCATCTTTCATACATCCTCCAAACCCAGTTCACCAATTGTTCGAATCACGCATAATCTCTCTTCTAAACGCCTGCACACACCTCACCCATCTCAGAGCAGCTCATGCTCGCATCTACCGTTGTGGCCTTGATCAAAGCAGCTATGTTCTCACCAAACTCATCCGCATTTTCACCAAATTCAACTCTCCCATGGCTGGCTACCCTCGCGCCATTTTCTCCCAGGTTTGTCACCCAAATTCGTTTCTTTGGACTGCTTTGATTCGTGGGTATGTTGTTAATGGACCGATTTCGGAAGCTTTAGTGTTGTATGATTGTATGAGGGAAAATGGAGCTTTACCCACTTCTTTTACTTTCTGTGCTCTGTTCAAGGCTGCTACTTTAATGGGGGATGTGGGTTTGGGCTGTCAATTACATGGGCAGATGTTTAAGTATGGTGGGTTTTCGTCGGAGTTGTTTTTGAATGCTGGGAATACGTTGATTGATTTGTATGTGAAATGTGGTGTTTTGGAATGTGCACACAAGGTGTTTGATGAAATGCCTGTGAGAGATGTTGTATCTGGGACTTCATTGATTGTTGCTTATGCTAAGGGGGGAGCGATGGAGGCTGCTATGCAGTTGTTTGATGAGCTTGATGTGAAGGATGCAGTGGTATGGACTGCTATGATTACATCGTATTCGCAGAACGCTCGTCCTAAGGATGCTTTGGATATGTTTGATAGGATGCAGTGTTGTGGGATTGAAGCTGATGAGTTTACATTGGCTGGTGTTATCTCAGCGTGTGCTCAGCTTGGTACAACTAATTATTTGACGCGCATAAGGGATATTGCTGAAAGATCAGGATATGGGCCTGATGGAAATGTTGTTATTGGGTCTGCATTGGTAGATATGTATGCCAAATGTGGGAGAGTGGATGGAGCATATGAGATTTTTAAGGTGATGAAAGAAAGGAATGTGTACACTTACAGTTCGATGATTTTGGGGTTTGCAGTGCATGGTCGTGCTGCTGAAGCAATTCAATTGTTCTACGAGATGGATAAGACAGATATAAGACCGAACAAGATCACTTTGATTGGGGTTCTTACAGCATGTAGTCATGCTGGAATGGTGAATGAAGGTCGTCAGTTATTTAGAAGCATGGAGGAAAAATATGGCGTCATCCCCACTGGTGATCACTATACTTGTATGGTTGATCTTCTTGGACGATCTGGTCACTTGGAAGAAGCCCTTGCCCTTGCCAAATCAATGCCACTCGATCCTCATGGGGGTGTGTGGGGTGCATTACTTGGAGCTTGTAGAATTCATAACAATCCTGACATTGCTCAGGTTGCTGCCAGCCATTTATTTGAACTCGAGCCCAATAATATAGGAAATTATGTCTTGCTTGCTAACATTCTTTCATCAGCTGGAAGATGGGATAGTGTTACAAGAGTGAGGACACTGATGAAAATCAAGGGTTTGAAAAAGATTCCTGCGCGTAGCTGGGTGGAAGGACAGAAAGGAAGTATACAAGAATTCTTTGCTGGAGACCTGACTCATCCAAGATCCAGAGATATTATGCAGGTGTTGGAAGACCTTCTAACTAGGTTGAAGCTTCTTGGATACCAACCTAATTTAAATTCAGTGAGTTATGACATTAGTGATGATGACAAGAGACAAATACTAATGACTCACAGTGAGAAGTTGGCTTTAGCTTATGAATTATTGACTACTGAATCTGCTCATACGATCAGGATTATGAAGAACCTTAGAATTTGCGAGGACTGCCATATTTTTATGTGTGGTGCTTCTAAGATTACTGGGAGGGAGATTGTTGTACGGGACAACATGAGATTTCATCATTTTCGAGATGGATCATGCTCCTGTGGAAATTTCTGGTGATATAGCTTTTGTTGAATTACTGAGTGATCAGTGATAATTAGATACGGAATAATTCTCAAGTAGATATCATCTACCTGATAGGATGGTGATAGTGACTAAAGATGATCTGGTGATCTGGTCCTCAGTGTTTGTTGAACATGATAACATGAGCCCTTTATCGAAATGTTAAAATGCACTTGTGACTTGTGAGGATTTGTAAAGGATGCAGCTCAACTTCCTGGGACTGAAATTGGTAAGATTCTGCCAGTTATCTATTGTCCTCAATTGGTCTTTATTAATTCCTATCAAGTGATGTCCTCTTGATGGAAATCAGAAATGGATAAAGGAGAGCATGAAATTTGGCATATTATGTATTCAAAGATCTTCAATTTCTCTGAATTTGAGTAAATTCACTGGTGTTTTCTGTAGGACATTGACGACTATAAAAATAATGATATTTACATTGAGATCTCCTCTGAAATTTTTTAGCTGTATGTGCTACTCAATCCTGTTTCCTCTGTCTCTGTTCCTCTGCCTTTCTATTTATCTTCTCCTTCTTCTTCTCCTTTCCCTTTCCTACTCTATGTATGTAGCCTTCAAGCTGAGATTGGGATGGTGGTAGTGAATTAGGTAATATCGTGGTTGGAGACAGTTACTAAAGTCTAGGTTTCAATTGCATGAGACTATCTTAGATAAGGTAACACTTCCCTTATTCTAACTAATATTATGTTATAATTACATACTGCAGATGGGATCTGCTTGCTGGGCAAAATGGCAAATGTGCATCCTTGATTGCCAGAGATGGGAACTATCCGCCATCATCATATTCATCGGAATTGTGCTGACATGCAAGTAAGAAGGATTGATTATGACAAAGGGGTGCTTGTTGATTCATAGGTTCAATGCTGCGTAAGTTATTTAGTTATCGCATCTGTCACATATCTACTGAGTGTTGATTTTGTTTAAACTTGTGCTATCCTGACTGCTGATTCTGATTAATAAAAAGATTAATGCCTCATTTTTAATTTTCTTTATTAAAGCCGTGTGTGCCTTAATGATGCTTTGTGCTGTTTGATGCATTCCACGTCTGTTGATGGTGCGTGTTTATTTTGCCTAATCCTCATAGAAGCTTATTCCCCTGTGGCATGTATCAGATTTAACATAATATTCTACTTTATTTTGGGGGAGGAGTAAGAAATCTGTGAGCTTGGATGTGGTGCCTAATGTTTCATACGAGTACAAAAAACCATACTAACTAGCTTTCAAGTTACAATTATGGAATCTGCATAAGCCTCAAAGCCTACGTTTCCCGATGTAAGATCTAACATGTGGCAACTCATAGGCTTCATAGTAGAGGATTGTTGTGAGTACGTGTAACGATTACATGACCTTCGTTCCCATCTATGCTTATCAAATCCAAGAGCCCTTCCTCCTCCTATCTTATTAACTAATCTAATTTATACGGTTCCAATCCAACCCACTTATATTATTGTCTAGTCATTTATAAATCCTGCAAAACAAAGGGTTTAGGTATCTTTTTGGGATTGATTTATCATTCCTTGAATTAATAAGATGAGTCAGAATCCAGGCCATCAAGTTGATCCAAGACATGAGCAAACTCGCGGGATAACCTCACATGGAGCTGCGTCAACTAGATCATCGAGTTCAAGTTCAGTAACGCAGCCATTCATTCAGGATTCTCCTAAAGGTGGCTTATTCATTATTTCTGAAGGGAGCCAGCAAAAACAAAAGGAGTATTGGGATCTTAAAACAGCAGCATTCAGCTCTCCTTATTATGATCCGTTTGCTGAGGGTGAGGAAAAGGAGGTGGAGATTGTTAGTCCGGTTGATCGTCAAGGTATTGGCATCCCCACCATTGAAGCATATCATTCGGATGGTTCCCATCGTTGACTATGCTCACTTCTCTGTTTGTAGTGTATGAAAAGGAGGAGCGTGTTTTCTTCCATGTCACCTTGTATCTTACCTTAATCTAATCGTCTTCTTCTTGTTTTCCTTATGTTAAGCAAATGCAATAATTTTTCCCTTTTTTGCTTCTGGATTATCTTAACTAGTGGACACATTACACATATTGAGATTGTAATGGGAAACCTTCCAGCTTCATATTGTGCTGTTTTGTCTTAAGCTCCTGTTCAATAATTCTTCCTTTAATAGTTTGATGTTTCCTTAAGCAAACTGTCAATTATTAGCCTCGTTGAATAAGTTGTTTCTGTGATTTTTAGACTCCAATTCAAATTCAGACATTCACTTGTGAAAACTCTTCCCATTCTTGACATTGTAGGTGACAGATCTGGCAGTCTTCGTCTGGGGAGCTCCCTATGATAAGGCTCGAGAAATTTATAGTTTGAAGGTTATCCGCCGATTAGAATTTTGCCAGTTGCAAAGGAAGTATGTTGAATTTCTTTTCTGCGTCAATTCAGAACTACAAAAGGGTTTGCTCAAGTTTTAATTATAACAAGTGACTAAGTGATTCTTCGAAGCTACATAAACTCAAATGCAAAGAAGGAAAAATTTAGTGATAACCAAAACAATATACTGATGAGTGATGACTGATGAGTACTTAAATTCCTACTTGTTAATTTTCAGTTAAGTTAGAAGCAAGCCTTAAAAACCGCCATTTGAAGGATCAAAGAGTGGGAAGAATTAATCTCAGGGGAATAAAAATTCAACGGAGTTTTATCTTGTTAGTTGATACTTTCTTGCAATTTTTTACTCCGTATTGTTTATAAATATTATTCTTGATTCATTCTCCATAACTTAACTCCAAATTGCCAAAGCATACTTTGTTCAGTTTTATATAATTGAGATTGAGATTTGGTGTTATACTAGTATATTAATCATTGTTGAAAGAAATGGCAAGTTCAGAATACCATACAGCCGATACAGTACAAAATATATTATAGGACAATAATAGGGATAGATAAGCATCAGCTTAAAATAGCGGCAGCTTGAGTACGGTGCTGTCACAACCGTCAGCGCATACTAATCGATGCGGTGCAGAGATGCTGGCAGAGAAGTGTCCAACTGTCCTTAGCCGGCATTAAACAGGCGTCTCTGCAGCATACGTGCCATCATATGGCGAATGCCACACTATGCATGAGGCTAACATAAATGACACGTAATAATTGAAACAGCTGTGCTCTCATGTTGTTTTAGTTACAAGTCCAAAGGTAAACTTGATCAACATTCAGCAAGTTATAGAACTGTACTGAAAGTAGTTTAATAACCTTACTTTGTTAAAAATTTAGGACAAAGGGGGAAAAGTAATTAAATTTGGTGATGGCAGATGCTCAAAGAGGAGGTCAGGGAGGTGATCGTGGTGGCAGAACCACAGATGACCCGTACAACAGAACTACAGGGGCAGGACTTTGGACTGCAGGATTCAATGACTCTACAACTGACATAGGTAATGGTACTAGTACAGGTTGTGGTACTGGTGGTACTAATAATGCGTCCCAAGAGCAAGTAGCCAGGAATCCTTTGTCGCGAGACCCAAGGAAGGGTCAGGGTCAAGGTGAAGGTCAAGTTCAGGTTCGTGGCCATACCAGAGATGAAGGAACTGTCGATTGCAGGCCAGACCCTACTGGTGGTTACTTTGACTTTCGTCGTGGCTGATCGAACTGTGTTATGAATTACTCCGTAGGTGCTTCCGTAGGTGCTAAGGTTTTTTTGTTGTACTACTTACTATTGTATGTCTATACAGAATAACAAAGATTGAGCAATGCATAATTGCATATATGCATGCGCTGTATTATTTTTTTTTTTTTTTTTGTGCTTGAACCTCTGTATCTCTATACAGAATGAAAATCATATTGTAAGCTTATCATATCTTTGATTTTCTGCTTCGTGTTATTCCGTGTGATACTTAAGATCTCAAAATCTTGCACCTAATCTCTTAACGTGGTTAGGTGATGTAATTTTTTGCCCTCTACATATTATTTGATTTTTGCACAATTGTTTAAGAAAGTGAATAAAAATAAAAAGAATGTAGTGTTTAGTTAATTAAGGTGGATATATAATATTAAAAATATTTATATAAACGGACGGTCGCCCCTCCAACAAGAAAGGGTATAAATATGAAAACTTCTCTGCCATTTGGATCGGAGAATTTATGGAGGAAGTTGGGTTTTAAATTTCCAGAAACCACACGATTATATAGCCAAAGGGAATAGGCCACGCCTAAAATCATCCCAAGCGCTGCTAATGTGGCTACTAAGCTATTTCTTTGGAAAGCTCCTACTAAGATGAGAAATTCCCCGATAAAGCTGCTAGTACCAGGTAAACTCATATTGGCTAAAGTGAAAAAGAAGAAAATGGTAGAGAAATTCGGCATGGTGGTTAGAGTTACTGCCGCCGTTTACTGGGGCTTCCATTCAAAGCTTATAACACTTTTCCTTCCGACCTTCCAGCACCGGGCAGGTGTCAGACTCTATACATCGTGTTACCACTTAGCAGAGTTCTGTGTTTTTAATAAACAGTCGCTACCCCCTGGTATGTGCCGCTTTCCTAATCAAAAGATAGGAGAGCACCCCTTCTCCCGAAGTTACGGGGTCATTTTGCCGAGTTCCTTCGACATGGTTCTCTCAAGCGCCCTCAAAAGATGGGGAGATTTGACAAATAAAATAAGGAAATTAAAATTATACTTGACTAAAGTTGAGCAAAAAATAAATATAATATTAAATGACGGATACAATTTTTTATGTTTTTTTTGTTGCAAGGAGAATCTTGATTAGAGGTGGGCATCGTGTCAGGCCATCGCGGGTTGTGTCTAGTGGTGGCTCGTGTCGTGCCGTGCCTGCATTTTGGCGGGCCGGGCCACCATTTCGCACACCCCACGGCCCACATGCCTGACATAGGATTAATTATCCACACTTAGCACGCGGTTGCAAAGTTGCTCTAATACTATTTGTAACACCCCGACCCCAAACAAATTAAGGAGGAGCCTAATGTCACAAAATGTGCATCAAGGGCCAATAATGGTGCCCACAAACCAACACAGGTCCTTTCAGCAAGACTACTCCCAGCCAAGCATGCTTAACTGTGGAGTATTTTAACATATGAGCTCCCTAAAACGAAGATACATTTTATTGATATGAGTAGCTTATCAAATCCTTTAAAACAATCATGAGGGGTATTACACATTATATATGCCGCCCATATTTTTTTTATAAAAAAAATCGCTATATTTTTTCTGAACAACTTTTAAAATGAATACACTATTTAAATAATTTTATTAATTTATATGTATGTTATTTTATTATTTATGTTATTTTTATCATTAATTAATTTGAAGTGTCGTTTTGCACGGATCGTGTCGTGCATGGTGTGCTTGGTTGTGCCGCATGCCGTGCTCGCGGGCCAAAGTACCATGACGCCTGCGGGTTTGTGTCGTGCCCGTGCCGATTTTTCAAAATCGTGAATAAATGAATAATAAGCAATGGTAAAAGACTACTAAGAGAATTGTGACATAATTTTGATGTAGCATGAGCTGAGGATAAAGATAGATGAAAGTTTGATAAATAAAGATTCAAGTTGTACTTTCACTTTGAGCAAGAATATTATAATTAATAATAAGAGTATAAGACTAGCCCTCTTTTTTTTTTAACCCAAGTAATGAGAGATGTATTTCCATATATAACAAACTAATGATATGTTTGAGAACTAAGTGGGAGATCAATGGTAGAGACGACGACGAGGAGTCTTTACCTTTCAACCATCAGGTTGAGTAACCTCCGTCCAAGCTGTGAAAACAGTGGCGGAGCCAGGATTTGTAATCCGGGGGGACAATTTTTAGATGTTTAATAATCGACAATAATTAAGAAAAAAGAAATTGATCACATAAATTGTTTAATATATATTTGAAATCGCTTATGAGATATGACAATTATTCTTATATGGTGAAAGAGGAGTTGTTAAAAAATTAATTGCATATTAAGAAATTTATTAACCATTTTTTTTTTTTATGCTGGTAAACCCCAATTTTAAGGTATGTAATCCTTAATAATCGATAAATATGATTTATCAAATGATAAGCATTTACACAAATTGATAGTAGATGTAAAGGGATTTGGGTTACATTTTAAAAAAAAAAAAAATAATAAATAAATAAACTTTCTTTGACTAAAAATAAAATTGGAAACTTAGTTCCAAACAAGCTATAAAAAAAATAGAATTTAGGCACACATAATTAGAGAGATAAAAAAATACGGAGACATGTGTTCATTACAAATAGTTTAATAACACATTAGTAATCACTATCAACAAGGCGATACTTGATTAAACAGTTAAATGAGAGTAGTTAGAGGTTTGAAGACTTATAATACTTTGTATATATAAATTACATACTATATAATGAAATTTAAAAACCAGTAAAAAAAAAAATGGCAAAATCCAAAAACAAGAAAAAGAAGTTAAATAGGAGCACTTTGTATAAACTATAAAATGAAATAAAAATAAAGTCCAAAAATAGCAAAAAGAAACAAAAAAAATGATCGGGTAAAGAATCGAACCTAGGATCAAAGAGAAATACAAGCTTTACTCAAGCCCATCAACCACCAGACCAAATGTTGTCTTTGTTATATAAGGTATACATGTAAGGTATTTATTCTTATTTACAGCATTTATTTAAGCTAACATAAATTAAATTTTTTTTTGGAAAAATGGGGGGACAACCGTCCCCCCTTGTTCCTACATGGCTCCGCCCCTGTGTGAAAATCATATCAAAGTTCTGTGAAAATCATTAATTAACACTAGATCAGAATACTTCCCACCAAAATATTCAATAATAGGATTAGGGTATTTGTGATTTTAACAGGAAGATCATTATATCTTTGGTTACATATAAAATTTCCTCTAGTATTGCACCTTACAATTATGGTAATAGAAATACTACAGAATCACCAGTAGAAGCGTAGTATCATATTACACTTCGATCTTTACTTTTTTTTTTTTACTGGGACTTTATATACCATAATATCAACTCTAGGTGTATTCGAAAACATTTTAATATAACGAATAGCTTCAATACATACTTAAGAAAACAACACGTTAACTCTTATATGATCTAGTACCTTAGCAAGCTTATCAGTACTTATCGCATGCTCCAATCTTTTAATTAAAGGTGCATAGTGTCAAGTAGCCTCTTTCAACAATCAGCCACGCAGCAACCATGCATTACGTGTCCACTTTTAAACAATTTATAATGGCTTCACTCTTCCTTGCCGACTGCATGGACTACCACCTCATATATACAGCAGTATAAGTGTATATATGTATACACACATCATTTCATTCAATCCACATAAAATTATTATCCAAACTTATCTACATTCACATAAATTAACAACTTTACATTCATAGAGTTTTACCCTCTTACAAATATGGCAAATCGTCAAACTGAACGGAAGACTACGGTAATGAATACGGCTCTGAGGACATGGGGCAGCAGCAGCAGCTACGTCGCCCTGCTGCTGATGATATGGGCACTGGCACTGGTACTGGTACTGGTTACACTTATGGGACTGCAGGCAGCATGGGACCTACTGCTGCAGGGTACCATGCTGGAGTCCATGTCCCCCACACCACCGGTTTATCTGGCACGTACGGAACCAGTGGAGGGTTTGACACAGGAGGTTTCGGAAAGAGTGGTGGTGGCAGGGGCGGACCCACCTTTAGTCCTAGTGGGTCCGGTGACCAGTGGCGGAGCCAGGATTTGTAATCCGGGGGGACAATTTTTAGATGTTTAATAATCGACAATAATTAAGAAAAAAGAAATTGATCACATAAATTGTTTAATATATATTTGAAATCGCTTATGAGATATGACAATTATTCTTATATGGTGAAAGAGGAGTTGTTAAAAAATTAATTGCATATTAAGAAATTTATTAACCATTTTTTTTTTTATGCTGGTAAACCCCAATTTTAAGGTATGTAATCCTTAATAATCGATAAATATGATTTATCAAATGATAAGCATTTACACAAATTGATAGTAGATGTAAAGGGATTTGGGTTACATTTTAAAAAAAAAAAAAATAATAAATAAATAAACTTTCTTTGACTAAAAATAAAATTGGAAACTTAGTTCCAAACAAGCTATAAAAAAAATAGAATTTAGGCACACATAATTAGAGAGATAAAAAAATACGGAGACATGTGTTCATTACAAATAGTTTAATAACACATTAGTAATCACTATCAACAAGGCGATACTTGATTAAACAGTTAAATGAGAGTAGTTAGAGGTTTGAAGACTTATAATACTTTGTATATATAAATTACATACTATATAATGAAATTTAAAAACCAGTAAAAAAAAAAATGGCAAAATCCAAAAACAAGAAAAAGAAGTTAAATAGGAGCACTTTGTATAAACTATAAAATGAAATAAAAATAAAGTCCAAAAATAGCAAAAAGAAACAAAAAAAATGATCGGGTAAAGAATCGAACCTAGGATCAAAGAGAAATACAAGCTTTACTCAAGCCCATCAACCACCAGACCAAATGTTGTCTTTGTTATATAAGGTATACATGTAAGGTATTTATTCTTATTTACAGCATTTATTTAAGCTAACATAAATTAAATTTTTTTTTGGAAAAATGGGGGGACAACCGTCCCCCCTTGTTCCTACATGGCTCCGCCCCTGCCGGTGACACAGTATTTTTTAAAAAAAATAAAATATCAAAGAGACCCCTTATTATAGATAGGGGGTCTCGTTGATGCTGCTAGTGGTAACAACAAACAATATCAAAGAGATCCCTTATTATAGATAGGGGGTCTCTTTGATGCTGCTAGTGGTAACAACAAACAATGTCAAAGAGACCCCTTATTAAGATAGCAGATCTCCTTGATGCTGCTATTGCTACAAAAGACTCTGTGTGTTTTTTTAATATTAAAGAGACCTGTTATTTATATAAGAGGTCTCTTTGATGCTGCTATTGCATTTCACAATTTTTTTGCGTTACTTTCTTTTTCATTAAAGAGACCAGTTATATTTAATAACTGGTCTTTTAAGTTATCTCTTTTTTGTATAATTTTTTAATAATTTTTTCCCCCTTTTTATATCTTATATTTGTACAACCAATTTTAATATTTCACCATAAAGCTTATCAATTAACTAAAAAATCATAAAGTTAATTCAATATAATAATTTTATTGTACCATTGGTTTATAACATGTTATTTGTAGTATTTTCGACTTGTAAAATTGAATTATTAAGTATTGTATTTGGTTGTGATATGAATTTTTGTGTCCTATTTTTGGATTGAAATCAATTTGGTATATGTATATATACATATATATGTATGTATATATACATATATATATATATATATATATATATATATATATATATATATTTTATATATATAAGTTTTGGATTGAAATTAATTATGAACAAGACATGGAAAAAAAAAATTGTACTTTCACAAATGATCAATAATTGATGGTGACACACTATCTCGGAAATCCTGGATCCGCCACTGGGTGGTGGTGGTGGTGTCGGTGAAGGCTTTGATACCGGTATGGGTGAGCGGACTCATGGAATGGGAAGAGAGAGAGGAGGGGGAGGAACCCCTGTAATGCAAAGCGAAACTGTGGTAATTGAAAGTGTTGGAGGTCTGGAAGGGCAGGATATAGGAGATCAGATGGATGAGTGGGCCCAAAGTATCGGTGCCGGCAAAAGAGCCCGTGAAAGAGGAAGGACTCACGGTGGAAACGACACCGGATGAGATAAACAAAGAGCAGGGCAACGCCGAGGATGATAAAATAAGGAAATAACGAACAATGTGTTTATCATCAGTAATATCAGCAGTAGATTGAATTTCGTCTCTGCTTTTTTTAGTCTTTCAAATTTAGTACAATAAACAGTGTGAGCAATGTAAGAAGCCTCTTTTTTTTGTTGCGAGGCTAATACATATAGGAATGGGATTTACTCATTTACTGTGGGTGTGTTGTTTAGTTCTTTGTTTCTAGGATTTAGGAGGTTAGTTTTCCTTGCGTTGTAAACTTTTTTCATTATGATAATGTATGGTTTTTAATATATTTTGAGGTGTAAAATTTGTTTATGTACGAGTATGATAAAAGTGATTAGCGACTCATGTTGCTTTTAAATGTCAAAGGTATTAACTATTAAATGGTCATTTCTATTAAAGACTGTTACAATCAAATAATCTTTAGCTATCCAATTGTAGTTCGTATTAAATTCATGAAAAATGGCCTAAACGGCGTACATCTATGTAATGTTCAACTCTGATGTAATGTAAAATTATGGATTGGTTATGCAGTACTTGGTGTTCCCGTGATCATCAAGAACAGGTACTTTTTGCTATGAGGTCAGTTTGAATTGACAGTACCAAATACCAATACATACTAGCATAAAGTAAACTAAATTGTTCAATTTGGTTTCAAAAGTATTTTAATCACAATTTACAAGTTAAAATGAACAACAAAAATAAGTTACACAACTTGCAAATGTTCATCAAAAACGTACAAGTCTGAAGTGCAGATAGCAATGTTAATATGTTATGCAACACTTAATTAATCAGTAATCACTAAGAGATTTCCGAGAAAAAAAAAAGTGTAGTTTATGAAGTATAGGTTGGGTCTGTTCACATTTACTAAACTGAGTTGAACTGAACTGAACTGATTGGAGCTGAATTGAACTGAATTAAACTAAATTAAATTGATTGGAGCTGAACTGAACTGAGTTGAAATAAATATTTTATTAGAGAGAAAAATTAGGTGCTGAACTAATTAAAGCTGAACTGAACTGAAATGAAATTAAGTAAATGTAAACAAGCCCTTTGTACTTTGTACTGGTATTATTCATCATATATACACTAAGGTTGTATTCTCTTCACCTTGAAGCAATCAATATGACAATATGGATCAATTACAGTAGAATCCACTAGACAATTCACTATTACAATCACAAATAAATATGAAGTAATTAATATATAGAATTCAACCATTCAATAGAACAATGTGGAGAGAATCCGGATTAATATCGTCATCAATGTCTTTAACACTAAGGCTTCTACACAAATGTTTAAGGACAATCAAACTGCAGGGATAAATAATGAGACAAAATTATACGCATTAGTCATTACACTCACTAGCATGAGTTTTGGTGTAAGTGCAACCATTGATCTATAAATTACTCGAAGTAAATTAAGACCTTAATCACTAAACACAATTTATGACGAACTACTCAATGAAATAAAATTGGACAATAGAGACCATGTATACCGACAACATAAGTAGATTTAGCAATTAAATTTACGTCAATTACTGTATTTAGTAACCATGATCATGTTAATCGCATGATTCACATCCTCACTGGACTAAGAGTCTAAGACTATACAGTCGAGTCACGGGCGGACCTTCATTGAGGCGCGGGGCCCAACCCCCTTTAATTTTTCTAAGTTATTGGTTAAAAGTAGTATAATGTTTAATAACTACAATTAAAAAGTTATAGCATAGTGGTTAATTATTGTTATTTTTTAACAAAAGGTTGGAGGATCAAACCTTGACTCCCCAAACTTTTTGGCCAAGATCCGCCAAGTTGATGATCCTTGGTTAAACTTGGGTTACATTTCACGTTAATGAAAGTAATTTGCCAAATGAGAAGTCCAAGTATGATAAAAGAGTAATAGATATTTGAAGCTAAAGAAACACCTCATAAAGAGTCATAAATTCGTTCTATTAGCTTGAGGCACCGCACTAATTTACCAGAAAGCAACACAGCATAAGGCGGTAAGGTAAAGTACATAGCTTATTGACACATGGGTATCAATTGAACTCCAAATTGGAAAGGATGAGCTTAGTTACTAGCTAATTTATGATCAACCATCGACGCAAAAGGGAGTGTCTTACGTGTCACCGCGTCATGGAGACAGAAACACCTTAACAACCTATGTGTCAGCATCACGTGAAGCATGCATTATTCAAACAAATCCAAACTTCCCTCCCTCAAAACCATGTATAAATGGCTTTCAGAAGCTTTGTCTTCATCAAGCACCCAAGTGAATAACACATTTCTATTGCAAAACTAAGCTTGCTAAAAAAAAAAAAAAAAAAAAAAAAAAAAAAAAAAAAAAGAGAAAAAAAAAAGGGATAAATATTTCGGGGTAGAAGATGGATAGGTTAAGGGATGAGTATGGGAAACCAGTTCGCCAAACCGATGAATACGGGAACCCAGTTCGCCAAACCGATGAGTACCCGGTTCAGAATCAGTACTCTGCAGGTACCATGGGTGCATATGATATAGGTGCAATAGGAGCAGACAAGTATGCAGGTGGTACAGATGCTGGAGTTCCTGGTTATGATCCTGGCTATGGGGCACCAGGAGTTGGCACTGGTACGGGAACTGCCTATCAAGGTGACAGGTATGACACAGGAACTGGAGCACGCTATGACATGGGATTGGGCGCTGGAACTAGAACTGGAACCGGTGAAACAGGAATGGGCACCAGAACCCACGGCGGCAATTACGATACTGGTGTTGTTGATATGGGTGGTACCCAACTTCAACATCAAAAACAACATGAAAGTGGTCTTACTGGTATGCTCCACCGCTCTGGGAGCTCAAGCTCTAGCTCTGTAAGTTATCCACTTAACTTCTACTGCTTATATTATGTGTTTACAAGTACTATCTATGAAATACTAATGTAATAATAAAAAATGATGAAAATCGCAGTCTGAGGATGATGGAGAAGGTGGGAGAAGGAAGAAGAAGGGGCTGAAGGAGAAGATCAAGGATAAACTACCAGGCGGTGGACGAAAGAAAGATGAATATGGCTCAACAGCGACTACTGGAAGTGATCCACATGGCCACAGTGGCTACGGGCAGCCAGAGAAGAAAGGAATTATGGAAAAGATCAAGGAAAAGCTACCTGGTGGTCACTAAATAATTTAACTCACGTACATCTTTGTACTGCTTAAACACCTCTGTTATCTTTAATGTTGTTCCTTTTTCCATGTAGAAATCTGAAATATGTAATGCACTATGTATCAGCAGCACCTCTATTTTCTGAACTTTTTTTTTCACATCGCTAGTAATCTTAAACTGTAATAAAAATATATATATTTTTTTTAAAAAAAAGGTCCTACAACTGGAGATTGAAAGTTCACTTTCAGGTTTTTTATTTATGACTACAGATAATATAGTAGAAAATTTTGCATAGACAAGCAAGTGTAAAAGAAACATTAAGAAAAAAAAGGTGGAAGTACATGTTACAGTCAAATTGCTCATACTAACACAATGAAAAGCAATTGCCAAATGCTGGAATTCACAAACTCAATTGACTCATAAAATTCATTTAACCTATTGACAATTAGTACCACACTTAGCAGCTTAAATTTCCTAGCAAGGAGATGGAGGACAAGAAAGACCCAAGTGAGGATAAACATATAAGCTTTTAATCACATGGCTCACATATCTCACATTCTCACTAACTCAGTTTTTCAATTCCCATCCTAGATTCATTCTACAAAAACCCGTTCTTTCTAAACTCAAGGATGCTGATCTTTCTTTGATTACATTAAAATTAGGTTTTTGCTAATCCAACTATTACTTTTTATACCTTTACTATCCAACAACTGATGAGAACTAAAATTCGCTGTATGTGTGTCGTGAATTTAAACATGTTTCTTGATTCTAACATGTAGGAGCCCTTGAGATCGTCCTAGCTAATATTATTGTGATTTATTTGAAGTTTATCATACTTGGGTTTTAAGAATGCATGATGTTTCATCATTGATAAATCTTGCAAGTATTTCAAAAGCGTTGAGAATGTCATAACCTACTAGTTTGAAGCTTTGTGAAACCACATGATCTGTAAAAAAATCCAAAACATAACACCTAAAAATCTTCCCTAGCCAAGAACAATCCTAAGGATTTCTACTATTAGCGCCTGTTCAGCTTAATTTCAGTTCAACTCCGTTCAGTTCCATTCCTAATTCACTTTTCTCATAAACAACTCATTTCAGGTCGTTCGGTTCAGTTCTGCCCCAATTAGTTCAGTTCAATTGTTTGCAGTAAATCGGAACAGGCACTAAGTCTATAAACATAGCTAAAAACAATCCTAAGGTCTTCTGCTATAAGATTTGAAGTAAAGTGGTATCTTCTCCCATATTCTTAAACCACAACACATGGTAAAACTATAAAAACCAACTTCAATTGAAAGAAAAAGGGAGGAGAAAAAAACCATTAAAATCATTAAGAATAAGGCACCTACAGACTAAAAGATGCAAAACTTAACAATAAAGCAATAATAAGCTAAGGTATCATAATGGTATCGATAAGATGAGTGAATTTAATAACCCAAATTTATACCTAGTACCTACTCAAAGAAATCTTGGAATTTTTGTGGACGATACAATTAATGATGTGAGCATACTAAGCAATAGCCAAATGATGGAGTTCACAACTTGTTGCAGTACTTAACTTTAATATAACCCTAATTGATCGTTAGCCAGGTGTCATCAACTAGAACAAAAATTCAAAACTACCCAGCAAAACAATATACCTAGACATATGAAGATTATCTAAGGACATAAGACAATAGAAAACCAGGGGAGGAGCTAAAAGATGGAGGAAAGTTGCCTGTTGCCTTCTCGATGGACTTTACAAGCTCCTTAATGACATGTTTCAACATATAGATCTCATCAACTAGGTTTTTTGTTTCCCATTCTTGATCCATTCTGCAAAAATAAATTAAAAACAATCCTATCTGAGTTTAACTGGTTAATGCAAAGGCACATTCTTTCTTGTGCAATAATGTAGTGCAAAGGGGAAATTATAGTAAAAGTGAATTAAATTTATAAAACTAATTTGACAATGAACACACACGAATATATGAAGGAATGCAAACAAACCAACACTAGCGGACAGCTAGCAAACAAGTTTGGTCAAAACTCTAAAGCAATAAACTCACTAACAATTTTATCCAATTCACTTAAGCTTAAACACTTATGTTCGATTTGTTTGAAGCCTTAAATCATTTAACAGATAATAGAACTAATTAATATAAGCTCATTGGATTAAACTCTCAAACATAATAAACTCTCAAACATAATAAACTGACCTGGGTTTGGAGGTAGGATTGTCACAGCAATGGGAAAAAAGCACCTTCACAACAGGGTGCAGATTGATTTTTACGAATGGTTCTGCAGTACCTTCTGAGCAACAACCAGAACAGCACCATGAATTTGGATTAAGTAAAACTATTTGCATCATGGAAGATTTTGTCTTCAGATCCTTAACCACAGAGCGGAAGGACAGTTCATCTTTAGCACTTTCCAGGAGTTGGCAAGTGAACATTCTCTCCAATGTGTACTTACTGTCCACAAGAGCCAAGTAATCAATGCAAATTTCAGATGAAAACCATACCAATGCAAGGAAACATAAATAGGGAAGGAAAATCAGCAGAAAGTTTCAACAATTACCTGAATAAGTCAGCTGAGAGCTCTGAAGGTGGAGAAATTGAGATATTACATTTAAGAAGTCGAATGCCACCATCTAGTGGTTCAGAACCATCACTGCAAGGATATGCACCCACTGTACAACAGCATTGAGGACATGCGAAATCAATCCAGTCTATATCTTTTGAAAGGCCATCTAATCTGAATAAAAAAGCATTTCCGAGATAGCAATTGAGGAATGATTTCTGGTCAGCTTCAAGAGCAGCAGGACCACCAGCAGGTTCGTTCTTAGAAGACTCTAAAGTATCATGTTCACAACCAGAGTGCGCTGCCTCAGCATCAGTAGCAGAATCAACCCTTGCAGGAACACAAGATGGCTTCTCTTCTTGGTCTTCACAAAGTTCTAAGGGTTCTCTGTTCATATCTGTAGAGATGTGCTCTGAGCTAAGTTTTGCAGAAGAATCATGAAACAAGGGACTTTCAACCAATATACTAGCACCAACATCGCTAATAGAATTAACATCAATGTCACCCCACCCCTCGTTCTCACCACTTCTAATTAAATCCTTTGGAGACTTAAATCCTGAAACATCATCCTTGCAAAGAATGACAGATGCAGCTGTTAATAGGCATGAGCCCTCAGCACACCTATAGGATTTGACATATTTATTTACAAGTTTCTCACTGATCCCTCCAAATGAGCAGCAACAAGTCCCAAACCAATTGTCAGCAACATCGGTCCAGTTAACAGAAGGCAGGTCCACCAAACACCTATACTCACATAAGACAAATGTAATGAATTTCACATAGTTGTGCCAAATTAACAACAGAGAGCAGCATGTATTTGCAGATAATTACAAACTCAAAGAGAATATTATTATTCAATAGAATCAAGCTACAAAGTGAAAGGCCTAGAGTCTAGAGATGTCATATAGAGGGAATACTGGAACAGAGCCCTCGTATAATACACTGATAATTAACAATTAGAAATAAAGGCTAAAATCATTATGACAGTGATTAGCTAAATCACTCATGGATATCCAACAAAGACATGCAGCTAAGAAACTAGAAACAAATAGTACAAAGGGACAGAATGCTTATAGCCTTAATCTGCACAAAAAATCAGGATGCGGCTAAATTTTTCATTGGTTTATAGCATCACATCAAAGCACTCATTAGTCCGTACTCTGTGACTCTGTAACAATTGATGATCAATGCATATCATTATGGATTACCGCAAGGTTTAAACAACTCCAAATGTATCTTATCTTTCCTTTATAGTTCGATACTTAGTAACACACCACATTTTTCTTTTCTACTCACAATAAATGCAATCAGCAGTTGAACATACATCTAATTGTTTGCAAGAGAATCAAATTCACAACAGCATTGTAATTACCATGAACAATATATCAATAAGTCACCATTATGATGAAATTCGAGCAATCAACCACTAATAAATCGTTTTTGCAAACAACTTACACACACCTTACAGAACGGCTAGTCAGCTTAAACGCGCATTTTCTGCAGTAGAAGTCCACATCTCCTTTGGACGACAATGCCTTGAAATCTACTCAAACCAACAACAACAACATTTCACAAAATTAAAGCTACAAACAAACAAGAATTAAATCAAAAATAAGGAAATTCAAAAAAAAAAAAAATAAATAAATAAAATGAATAAATTATCGAACCAGAATCCATGGAAAGCGGCTCAAGAAAACCATCGGATGAGGAAAACGCGCCAAATTCATCTCCAGAACTGAGTTCAGAAATAAAACTAGAAACAATAGGATGGTCAACAGAAAGAAGAAGAGGAATCTTAACTTGAATGTGATCATCCAGAGCACTGAAATAGAGCGGATTATCGAGGTCGACTAAAACCCTAGGTAACGGAACGAAGAGAGAGACTGGATTTGGGGATTTATTATGTTTCCAAGTTAAGATAAGAAGTGATTTTTCGAACTTTAAATCGACATTAAGATCAATGCAATGAGTAATTGGATTAATTTCTGGGGAGAAGATGAACAGTTTGAGGAGAGGGATGTGAGATTGAGCTTCCCAGGTGTACCGCCATTTTTTAGGGTTTTGATTTTCGGACAACATTTTTTAAAAAAAAACTGCTCAGTAATCTAGCGGACTGTGAAAGAAAATTTCGGAAATGGTTACGGTGAGTACGTAATACTCTGTACTCGTATTTCTTAGGTATGGAGTCCTAATTTAAGATTTGTTCTCTTACATTGAAATTCAATTCAGTTCAGTTCAGTTTATATCAGTTCAGTTCAGCTTCTAATTTACTTTTCTTATAAAATATTCATTTCAGTTCAGTTCAGTTCAGCTCAGTTCAGCTCAGTTCAGCTCAGTTCAGCTCGGTTCAGTTCAGTTCAGCTCAGTTCGGTTCAGTTAGTTCAGCTCAACTCAGTTCAGTTCAGTTCAGTTCAGCTGAGTTCAGTCAATGAGAACAAGCCCTTAATTAAGGGTCTGTTTTCATACGATTATTTTCATTTTATTTCTAATAAGTTCAATTCTGTTCAGCTCTAATAAGTTCAGTTCAGTTCAGCTCCTAATTTCCTTTATTTATAAAATATTCATTTTAATCCAATTCAATTCATTTCAGCTCTAATAAGTTCAGTTCGGTTGAGTTTAGTCAATAAGAACAGGCCCTAACATTCTACATTTGTCGATGTAAAACTTTAACCATATAGACTAGAGTAAAACTGTCTTGACCCCTATCGTTATATGTCATAAACATATACTCCGTGGTGCATGTGAATAGTGCAAAAGTTAAAATGATACACTTAAAAACACACAAGACAGTAGTATTATAATTTTGCCAAGACTATGTGAAATACTTTGTAGTCGTTGGAATATAGATACTTTTTTCATTTTATCAAGTGTCCCATTTTGCCTTTTTACCCTAAACCCTATTCAATTCACTTAGTTCACTTTAATCAATAATGTTCATAATTTGTACATAAAATATATACTATGTATATATATATCATGTTAGTATTTATTGTAATTATCTCGATGTATCAGTACTGCGTGCTGCTGCTAGTGCTACCGATGTCTGATTTTGGGATTTGTTAAACATCGCCCGCGTTTTTCTACATAAAGCCCACATTTTTTAAAAATGTTGACATTATTGCCCTTGTTTTAATTTTTACCGAAAATAAAATTTTTCACTCATAAAAAATGTGGAGCAGGACTGGATCGCCGAGTGAAACCGAAGAGCCCTCAACGTCGGGTAGATGCACCGGAGAGACGCCGTTGACGCCGGAAAAGGAGGTACGAAGCCATCTAAAACCACGAATTGGCGGCTGGCGTCCTGCCGGGACGCCGTGACCGTAGTGGTGGCGCCTAGCCAGGACGCCGCCACCGTGGCTTTGGCGCCTGGCCAGGACGCCGCCACCGTGGCCGTGGCGTCTGGCCAAGACGCCGCCGCCACGGTGGCGGCGTCCTGGCCAGGCGCCACCGCCACGGTGGCGGCGTCCTGGCTAGACGCCACCGCCACGGTGGCGGCGTCCTGGCTAGGCGCCACCACTATTTTTTTTTTTTTTTTTTTTTAATTTAATTTAGAATTTGTTTATTTTTTTTTTTTTGTGTTACAATTTTTTTCTTTTTTTTTTGGTTTTTTTTTGTTTTGTTTTTAATTGTTTTAATTTGTTTTTGTTTTTAATTTATTTATTTTTTATTTTTTTTTTTACAATTTTTTTCGTTTTATGTTTTTTTTTTGTTTTTATTTTTTTGGTTTATTTTTATTTATTTAATCTAAAGTTTTGTTTATGTTTTTTATTTTTGTGTTTTGTTTTTTTTTTTTTTTTGAATACTTTTTGTTTATTTCTTTGTTTGTTGTTTATAATTTATTATTGTTTTTGCTTTTGTGCTAATGTTGTGTCAAATGTATTAATTTAATCTACTCTTATGTGATTATATTTATATGTTATTGTTGCAGGATTATGGTGGAGACGGAAATGATTATAGTGGGATTTTTGTACACGATGGTCTGTTCGAAGATGCTCAACAAGCGGTTGATTGGGCGAAACAGGTTGCAATTAGATCAGGTTTTTGTTTAGTAGTAGCAACTCATAAATCTCAACGGGATGGTAGAATGGATCGCATTTTGAGATGCGACCGTTATCGCAAAAGGGAGGAACGAGATTTCAGTCAAGCGATTCGGTTTGATACAAAGCGGAAAGGTTGTGGGTGTCAGTTCAGAGTAAAGGTTCGACAACAGCAAAGGGGTGACGGTTGGGAAGTGAAGAGTTACGGTAAATGGGGGTATCACAACCATGAGATGATCGCATATGAAGTGGGTCATCGACAGTTAAGTGGCCTAAGTCCTGCTGCGAAACTAATTGTAAAAGAAATGAGTGATGCTCAAGTGAAGCCTGCTAAAATATTAGCATCTGTGTTGGAGAAATTTCCTGAAGACCAGCCAAACCGAAGACACATCTACAACGTCAGACATAAATTGAGGTTTGAACGGTCAGAGGGAAGGAACCCTATACAGCAGCTTCTACACCAGGCACAAGCACGTGGTTACCTGTACTGGTTTGAATCTGATGAAGACACATCGGAGGTGACTCATTTGTTCCTTGTGCATCCTGATTGTGCTGATATTGGACAAACCAAGTTCTTCATTTTGGAAACACTACTACATGTAGAGTTGAGAGCGCTCATAGAGCTCTGAAGGACTGGATTGATTCTTCCACCTCTGCTCTGGATACACTGTTCGAGAGAATAAACAAGGCTATTGATACTCAGAGGAACGGCATCAAGAACTCTCTCGAGGACTCCAGACGGCGACATGGCACGATTTATAGCCATTTCATATTTAAGATTCTCCATGGTCGTGTGTCACACTACTGCTTGGGGTTGATTCTGAGCGAGCACACCAGGATGAGGGAGTTGGGTGATGAAGTGCTACCCACGTACTTCATGACATGTTCAACTCGTCGTGCTTGGATCATGAGGAACCTGAGGGGGTCGAGCGACCACGGGGCCGACAACCACGGCGGGAAAGGAGTGCGTTTGAGTACATTCGTGGTCGTGGTCGTGGTTAGTTTTCGTATTTAGTTTTCCCATTTAAATGTGAACCTGTATTTAGTTTTCGTATGCCCACTAATTACAACTTAAAATAAAAGTTATAAAAACTAAAAATATAATGTCAAATTCTAAGAACTTAAAATAATAATTATAAGAACAGATAATGTTAACTTTTACAAACAACTAGGAAAATGTTTTATAAATGCACTGCCGACATATCAATAATCTCTCTGTGACGCCCACTGCCACTGCTCAAGGGCCCGTTCCAGTTCATCAATAACAGCTCTGCCTGTTGCAGTCGTCATGTTGTCCCTCTCCTCAAAAAGTCTGTGTCCCAACTGCGTCATCTTTCCCATCCACTACACATAACAAAACACATAAAATTCAATAACGACGTATTATGAGACGTATTATATGAAAAAAACACAACTACAAATGTTTTATGAGACGTACCGCATCCACGGCAGTGGGCGGTGGCACATCATCATCATCGGCGTCGTCGCCGTGGTGGACGTCTCTGATCAACCTCGGGTGCGAGTGCCGGTTGTACCACTCCATGTAGTGCTGGTCACACATGGCAGCCACCCCAGTTGGCGGCCGCTGCAACTGCTCAATCCATATGCGGGCAACCATCGGAAACTGCTCCCACGTGCCAATCATGCTTGCCGGCCATTGGACGACGTACTCCTTCAACGACGCAGATCGGACGGCCTTACTGGGCCATGCTGGTGGAGGAGGAACAACTTGGACATATCCAAGCTGGCGAAGACAGCGCTGCGGCATGTACGCCTCTACGATCTCACGATACTGAATCAGTCCCGTGTAGAGGGTCCTGGGTACCCTATTACTAGGGTTCTGGCCGAAAGGCATCCAGTTCACCTGCACATTTTTTAAAATTAGTAAGATTCATACAATAAACACATCAAACTATAAAAGTAGAAATAATTTAAACACTTTACCTCTAATGGGGACATCCTGTCAAGCAATAACCGTATCGATCGCAGGCGGTCAATGGACTTCTTCTCGACACGCGGACTCCACGCACAGGCACGTGGCTGGCCATCCCCAATAGGAACCGGGTCGCGGTGTGGTCGAAACGCCGGGAAATACTCGTATATCCACGTCTGTAACAACGTCATACATCCAGTGATACCTGCCGCATCAGCCCGGCTCGAGAATCCTAACTGGCGATACATGTACGCTAATGTAGCCGACCCCCAAGAAAACTGGCCTACTCTGTCGGGCTCACACGCGTCAACTATGTCGCGTGGCCTGAGCTTGTTTCCGCTCTTATCCGGAAACAAGGTACACCCGAGAAGAAGAAAAACATATGCAGCCAGCTGTGTGTCCTGCGTCCTACGTGAAGTGGGGTGCAAACATCGCTGCAAAAACTGCTGCGATCTTAACACCGCCGTGATCCCACACACCAAGTGCCGCTGTGTACAGCGCAGCCCTATCCACCGCCAACAGCTCCGCCAATAAATCTGCCTGATCCGCATCTGTGACAACAGATGCTCGGTTTCCCTCTACGGGAATCCCAAGGATGGCCTCGACGTCATGCAACATGATCGTCATCTCACCGAACGGAAGGTGGAAAGAGTTCGTGTCCGGCTGCCATCGCTCAACGAAAGCCGTGATCAGCGTCGAGTCAATCCTCTCATGCATGGTGGCAGGAAGGTGGCTCACTCTAGTGGCCCTCAATCGGCCGACCATCTCGCTCTCCTCCGGCCAAGCCTCAGCCCAACTACACAAGAAGTTACAAGTCCTCTCCCGGGTTTGGCATTTCAAAATGCCGCTATCCAAAGCCCGCTCTTGGTCCTCCCAAATACGGGTAGCGATGTGTCCTAGAAAGCTAGGAATCACACTCCCGTCTATAGGTCCCCCAACCACCTCGCCCCTCACCACCCAAGAATCATTAACGGCCCTCGACCGTTTTCTGCTAACCGCAGACACAGTGGACGCAGATGATGTGCCAGATCTACTAACAAATCTACCATCTCTACCCTTACGCACGTCTACCCTACGCGTCTCATACACATCATCAAGCCTCTGACTGAATGGACCGTAATCATCATATGGTCCACTCTGATCGTCCACATCCTCATCTGCATCCTCCTCCTCCTCCTCCTCATCACCATCATCATCTTCATCATCCTCAGAATAGTGCACCCGTTCTCTACGAGCCGAGGCCGAAATACCACGGGATCTAACGTGTCTGGGCCCCGAGCTCTCCATTGAGTTCATCGTACTTCTCATAATGTCCATACTCTTCCCAGCCCCAGAACGAAAATACGATGCCTAACACAAAATAACAAAACATGTAATATGCAATATAAACATGTAATATAAACATAAAAAAAGTAATTAAAATAAATAAATAAAACAATATACATATGATGGAAAATAAATTAAAAACATTACAAAATATTAACAACCTAAAAATAAAAAAATTAATAACCTAATAAATAAATAAATAAAAAATTGGAAAAAACAAAGCAAAAAAAAAAATTACCCAAAAAAAACAAATTGGAAAAAACAAAGTGAAAAATATAAAATTATAAAAACTTAAAAAAAGAAGAACATCAAAATTTTAAAAAAAATTTATAACAAAAAAAAGGGAACATAAAATTTTTTTTAAGTAAAAAAACTAATTCAAAAAAAAAAAAAAAAAGAACAATAAACAAGAACATAAAATTAAAAATTAAAAAAAAAAAAAGAGGAACATAAAATTTTTTTAAAAAAAACCAACAAAATTTAAAACAAAATAAAAAAAAAAATCAGAAACATAAAATTTAAAATTAAAAAAAAGAAAAACAAATTTAAAAAAAAATCAAAAAAAAAATAATTATTTTCGAAAATTAAATTTCAAATTTAAAACCAAAAAAAAATTAAAAAAAAAAATAAAAAGGCGGCGGCGCCTAGGCCAGACGCCGTGACGGTGGCGGCGGCGTCTAGCCCAGACGCCACTACCACGGCGGCGGCGCCTAGGCCAGACGCCGGTGCCGTGGTTCTGGCGCCTGGGCCAGACGCCACCGCCACCGTCACGGCGTCTGGATTAGGCGCCGCCGCCGTGGTAGTGGCGTCTGGGCTAGACGCCGCCGCCGTGGTGGTGGCGTCTGGCCTAGGCGCCGCCACCGCCTCCGACCTTTTTTTTTAATTTTTAAACACAAAATTAATAAAAAATACCTTCTCGCCGGAAAACCGCTGTCCACCCGCCGCCTGTGCCGCCACTTCCTTGCCGGGCCGCCTCGACATCGCTCGGAAAGTTTTTTAGAGAGAGAAAGTGGAAGTAGAGAATTGAGAGAAGAAATTGTGTTTTTTACTTTGAGGGCAAAAGTGACAATTCACTCTAATTTTGTGGGCTTTATGTGGAGATTCGCGGGCGATGTTTAGCAATTGAGCTGATGTTTCTAGGATATTAGCTTAATTATACGTCTTTATTTGTTTTGCGATCCTATTATCGCTTGTCTAATGGAATTGCAGCATCCTGAACCTCTCCACTAGATCTGCTATAACCGAGGTTGTTAAAAAATGTTAGGGCCTATATATGTGTTGTTACTTGTTACTTTGTTAGTAAGCCTGCCATTGGACTATTTTGCACACAACTACTAATCTTTAGTAGCTAGTTTATTTCATGGTAGTTTAAGGTTTTTTTTTGGAAGAACATGTTTACAATCATAATATAAACAATTATTTTGCATTTAACATACCAATGAATTATAGTTGGATTTATTAGAGCTTGGTATCCTTTATGTTTATGTTAAATTAATTTGTGTTCATTTTTAGATTGTCACGACTCACGAGTAGAAGAGATTGGAGAAATCTCTTGCACAAAAGGCTAAACAAGTGACTGAGTGAACATATACAAATAAAATACAAGTAATAAATATTGCATATTGTTCTTTTCATTCATGCCTAAGTAACCAATTTTGTCTATTCCAAAAAAAAAAAAAAATTAAATTGTACTTGATTGAAAAGAAATGAAGTTCCCTCATAATTGCAAATTCTTTAAAAGTGTAATCCCTCGGCCAACCAAGCCATCAATAAAATTCTATACACCCAATTGCAATACAACTTTACACCATAGTGTGTGTTTAAGTTCAATCATTGCCATGCCTTCCTCTTGTGATTTGTGTAATTAGTGGATTAGTGATTCTAACTTTCCCATATATTTGGCAAGCATATTCATAAAATAAATTGATTATTTATACCCAATATTATACTTTTAGGTAATATAATGCATTAATTAAAGCTATAATGGATTGCATTGCTTCTCAATGTGGATCGTTTCTAATTTGCGTGCTATAACGAAACGGCATTGGTGGTGTGGCCGTGCGGGAGCTATTGTGAGTGACAAAGTCTTAGATCATCCCAAAAAAATTTAAAATTTATGTGGGCTCACATCTCATACCATACGTGATACGTCCATACATAGTGTCTATCCACCTTTTTTGTGCTCACATACAAATTTTATAATACATTTGTTGGCATCCAACCCAAATACCCAATATTCATTTTTTTTTTAAATATCATGCTAATATTGATTTAATGGAAAGGATTATATCTTTTGTGAGATTGAAGGTTTATTGTCCATTAGATATTTAGATGTACTCATGTACATGATGATAATTCTCTATCCTTCTTCCTACTCTTAAAATGTCTAATTGAGTTGAACCGAGTAGGCTAGTGCAAAATTCCAACCTAATTAACAAATTTTATTTGAGTAATATACTACTAGTACGATATTTAGTACTCCATCAACATTCATATTTTAGGACTATACTATTGCTTATTTTAGGATAATTAGTATTGTATTACTTATTTAGGAAATATAGAAATATAGAGTTATCCTTTAAAAGTAATATAAACATTACCTTATAAATTTTTAGAATCATCTCACAATTTCAGTCTGTAGTTAATTAAGACCCGTTCACTTCAGCTTAATTTCAGTTCAGTTCAGTTCAGTTTAGCTCCAATCAGTTCAGTTCAGTTTAGCTTCTAATTTCTTTCTCTCATAAAATATTTAGTTCAGTTCAGTTCAGCTCCAATCAGTTCAGTTCAGTTCAGTTCAGTTCAACTCCAATCAGTTCAGTTCAGTTCAGTTCAACTCCAATCAGTTCAGTTCAGATCAGTTCATTTCAGCTCAAATCAATTCAATTCACCTTCAATCAGTTCAGTAAATATGACCAGGCCCTTAGTTATCCAATTAAAGACATGTAGGAGATACAATTCTAATTAATTGATTGATATTTTTAAAACATCCAATTAATGAAGGTATATACAGTATAATCAACGACTGATCCCATATCAATCAATATTTATAGTTTAAGTAGCTCATAATGCGGGCTTTTCCCACACCTCATCATCCATATAGAGAATAAGACCAAACAAATTGGCACCTCACACACCTAAGCCCCTGGCTATTGGGTGTATGTTGCTATTAATGTTTGTTATTTGTACTACTGGTACAGTACAGTGATGTTAGCATTTGTCCAATACAGCAATACTTGTGTTCATACATTACATTCAAATTCAACGTTATTTGAAATAAATTTGAGGATATTTTTATTAAGTACAATCATGTGAGCTAAAAATCAAGCATGACTAAAATCAGTAACATACTTTGGGTATTGAGAATTGACACATAGTTATGAGATCATGTTCGGTTAGCTTGGTTAAAATCTAGAGGATTACTCGTACATGGTAGTACTCAATACCTAAGATCATATTTCATTTACATTATTTATCCTTGTGGCTTTTTGTTATACAAAAAAATAAACATAATTTAATTTGATTATACATTTCTAAATTAATAGTCCTTTTCATGTTACAATGATTGATAGTGAATTTGAACAAATATTAAAAAAAGAAATCCATGGTATACAAATTGTCCATGATAAAAACAAAAATGTATTATAGAAATTGTTATATTATCATCTTTTTTCAATTTCTCATTATTATCCACAATCCATCACCCTATTTAGTTGGATATACTACTCAATAATTGCAACCTTATCTTTAAGGAGTTTATTTTCTGAAGATTTGTATAAGACTATTTGTTGGTTAGCTCAAATAATGTTATGCATATATTTTTTTTTTAAAAGGGTAAATGACATACAGGGTACTTATTTTCTATCTTTGCATATTATAAATTAATGTGCACAAATAATGACATTTGACATATAAGGACCATTTTAGTTCAAATGGTCTGGATTGTTGTATACTTCTGAAATGATTATATAGTAAATGTTATGAACTTATTATAATTTCAAGTTATATAATACTGTAGTTCTTATTTAAATTTAATTCCTCCTAAAGTAAGTTTATATACTTAAGGCCAGGTAAAAACAAGGTTTAATAGAATACTCGTAATTTGCAACATCA